GGCAATCGGTGGAGTGTTAAAACAATTTGTAAATAACAACCGGCAATCTTGAGCATTCTACTCGAGACGGTTGTAAGACATCGAAACGCGGCAAAGACCTTTTGATAGGGAACTCCTAGTCATGTATTTTGCCATGCTGCACTTTCAACACTTTGTGGAAGACAGAGAATTCACTATGTTCACCAAAAATAAACCTCGCAACTTCTCTATTAGCTCGTCTACAGTAAAGTACTAACCACGAGAATCTCGAAAACTGAACTAAATTTCGCAGTTTACTTCAGATATAAAACACATTTCTGGAGCAAACAATGTAGTTGCATGAGCCCTCTCTCGTATAACTTCCTTGAACAGTTTCCGAATTATTGACCTTATTGAACTCTTCCACATTCAAGAAGGCAGTGATCTTCAGCACAACATATCTTCTTCAACTCCAAACTGCATATTAAACAGATGGGATCAGGTAAGTAAACCTTACAATGCGACGCATCCACAAGTAGCGATCGTCCACTCTTGCCGTTTCACATAATGGGCGGAAGTACTGCCTATCAAGGACATTACTACTGAAACAGTGACCTGCGCCTTCGTCAAACGGTGGGTAGCAAACTTCGGCTGCCCTTCAACCATCACAACAGACTGTAGACGCCAGTTCGAATCTAAATCTTCCCATTGTCTGGCTATACTATTAGAAATCACACGATTCCGCACGATTGCCCACAAATCACAAGCAAGTGGACTGGTAGAACGTTTTCACTGGCAGCTTTAAGCTGCTCTCTCAGCTGTAGACGTCTCATGCCGAAACAACGCTCTACCACTTGTGTTACGTCGTATTTGCAATTCAATGAAAGCTGAAATTGATCACACTACAGCACAACTCGTTTACGAAACGACACTCCGACTTCCAGGAGAATTCGTTGATCCTTCGTCATCGTCTGTTGATACGGATCTGAACCCCCACATTAGCAGGCTTACAAACGTCATGCGTTCAGTTAAACTTGCCTTCAGTCGACCTCATTCAATCTGCCCTACGATATAATGGTAACAAGAGCAGTCAAACTTTATACGAAAGACTAAAATCTCTTATGGAACAATAGCCGCTCGAATGCTTTCTACCAATTCGGTTCACTGAATGACGTTCTCCCTCGGATTTATTGTCATGTTTTTTAGTTCGCTAAATTGTAACATGCTCGAAGGTCATACTCTGCTACCATAGTAAAATCTTTCGTACTAATTTAGTTTGAATTACTTGTTCTACCATAAAAATCAAGTTACCCGAAATTCTGTCCTCTTCCTGTCTTAGCCGTCGAAGTCTGATGTGTTGAGCATGATTGATTGTTGTTAGTTTCGAAGAGAACCGATAGTGTTAAAAAAACTTAATCGTTTTTGCTCCTAGATTCGTAACATCATAGGCTCTACTGAACCACAATAACATGATACAGCATATGATACACACACTTTCATACAACGCGAAGCATTACGATAACCACTCGATATAGCATACGAAAGACCCTTAAAAGACCTTCAACGTCAACCTACGTGCAATGTCATCGATTAGAACGGTAGCAACATAATCGGTAGTCTCGAAGCAGAGTATTTAGAAGGAGACGCTAATAATGTCGATTTTCCTCCGGCGCGAGCCACAGAGCAACGATAGCCCACTCGATAACCGAAAGTCACGACGACATTCTGGCGGTATTTCTGGAACATTCGAACGACTACTGCACTCAAGACACATCACGATATTTTGCTTCATCTCGTCATAACTATTTTGTCTTTGTATAATTTGTGGCAAGAAAACCAAAATCTTTTTTACCAATATGCTTATATGTGTATATACGTTTTATTCCAAAGAAATCACTGTGCGAAAATTTTTACACGCTATTTAATGTAATCAAAACGCATGCATACCAGTTTGTTTTCCTTTTTCCATAGTTTTGTGTCCTAACACAAGAAAGCAGTTCAGTAGGCACTTACGTATCCTATTTTCTTCTCCAGGACAGCTGGAAGAGATGAAAAAACTGACGATAATTACGACAAATCGAAGTTTTCATTACTATATTGCACCACACGGCTCCTTATTGTAAGAAAGGACAACCAGACACTGTCGAACACAACAAGCTATCGGGAGAGTGTTCACCAACGACAAATGCTTTGGATTTGAACTTCTGGCTGGCCAGGTCTACAGTAATCACTATACCACTAGGAGAGGAATGAGCTGTAGATAAATAAATCCCCAAAATCAATAGTTCCGTAAGTCCTTGACATTTTATGCTGACCGCATAAGTTTTGATAAGCTCATCTAGCTGAAGGTGCTCGATCACACATCCAAACCAGATCACTCGTCCGTATAACATGCTACACATCCCTTTCAACCATTTACCAGATTAAACTAGACGTTCCTCAACATACCGGTAGCCTTTCAAATATAACTTCTTACCCTCTCAATTTTGACATACTTTGATCATACAAGTGTTACTGGGAAGAGCGTTATCAAACTCCGATTGCGTGTGGAATCATTAATATGTTAAGTACCCCTCTAAACGACTCCTGAGAAGTCACTAATGTCACTTCCGTCCATAACAGCTTCCAAAATTCAGCTGATTTTAGGAATTAGGTATCCATGGGGTTCGTTCTGCTATATTGTACCTTTATCTTCTGTAATTGCCATCGTTCTTGTTAAGGCTGAGCTTAAGCAACTATTTGAAACGTCAGACGCTCTTCACAAGGTTGGAATTTGTGTCCTTCGAACGATATTGTGCTCAGCGTTTCCATGCATTCTGGTGAACGTTTATTTGTTTGGAGTGGGAAGGAAAATACTATGCTTCCATACTGTAAATAGGAGTGGAAAAACTGTAAAGGATTAGATGGAAAGTTCTACTGCAAAACTGATAAAAGTGTGCTTCAACGTTACCAGTGCCAGGTTTGCTCGGAAGGCATTTTTGTCACAATCAGAGTAATCATTTAAATCTTAGAGGCGAATAAATCCTCAAAGTATGTAGTTCTGTAGGTTCTCTACATTGATACTGACCTCATTAATGGGCCTAATATGTTCTACTTCACCAAATTATAGACTGTTCCATGTTGTGAAATCATATATCATTTTTTAATTTGCATATATTCATATTTTGGTTTTTCTCCCCTTTGTATATTTTTTCCTTATTATTACGAGACAAATACCCAAACTTTTACGCCGTCGACTTTTTTGCTCATGTCATTCTGGTCCAATGATATTGAGGCGGGAGCTGACTTCCGCGATCACGACGTGACAGTCCCACATTCACAGTTCCTCGCAGTAGTGAAGGCACTAGCACGCGATTTCAACAGATACGTAACGCACAGTATGTTTTCTAGCGATGTTGCTAGACTTTGGGATACTTTAACAAAGGTTATCATAAAACGGAGAGACCTAACCGATCGCCAGAGTTTGAACTGGCTGTTCCACAATATAAAGTTACAACACAGCTTGGCAAAAAAGCGTTGCCACGTCTGTCGGGGGTTAATGATCAACGGATTGACGATGAAGACCTCTTTAGGCAACTCTCCTTATCTAAGCATTCTCAACAGGTGTATAGTGTTCTTGTCTCATTTCAAAATGAGGCCGTAAACGAATAGGTTGAGTCTGTTGATCGGACAGTTAAGATCACTCGAAACCCCACCACTGAGGTTTATTCTGTCAATCAAAATCTTCAGACGACACAGAAAGTTTTAGAGATCTCTGTCATACTCTCACTCATTATTTAAATATTCGTCATCATCTCAGATTCCCTTAAACCCCTCGAAGCTCATCATGAAAAAGATCTGCCTCTAGACCACGAGAAACAGATAATTCCGATTGGCGTTGTACCTCAACAAGAACGCTAAGTATTCTATAAATTGCGATAAATCCTACAATATTCCCAATCTTAAACCTTTTTTCACGACAAAACTTTCGGGAAACTTTCCCGTAGACATGAGTTAACAGCAGTCGGTGGAAACAACCATCTTTCACACATCACTGATGTAGTGACGAATTTTTTCTCACGGCCGACTACGAGATCTGGCCTTCAACTTACGGGAAGCAAATGGTAAACTGATCGCTACACACGGTAAGATATATTGTTATCTTGACGAGCGTTTACGCCATCCTTTTCACTGGATTTTCATAGTGACAGATGTTTCTATTCTAGTCGTTGTTATAGACGTGTTACAATACCATACTCTGCTCATCGACTCGAGTGAATGGAGATTAGCAGACGGAAATACTAAACTATCTGTTTGTGTTGTAGGTTATGCCCAGTCACGATTAAATATACAAACGATCGACAGACACTCGACAAGTACCCTGGACTTTATACAACAAGATTGAAACTTCTGTCTCACCAGCAATGTTACACACCATATCACGACCACAGGATCACCTGTATTTTCGAAAACTCACCGGTTAGTTCCCAATGAGCTGAAGTTGGCCAAAAATGACAGATGGTTATTGTTTAACCAGTGATTATCAGCGACTTAATACGAACATCGCTTCTGATCGCTGAGTAATGCTACAAATCCACGACTTGGCACCTGCCCTAAAAATTGAAGTCGATTACTCAAAAATCGATCCTGTCGAAGAGTATGGCCAAATTACTAGCACTGCAGGCGACATTACGGAATCTACTATCCCTACATCAAGCTCCACAAAGCATTTGCACATAACATTCGGATTAGAAAACAATACACAAATGTTTCAAAGGTTCATCGGTGTTGCGGCCAGGGTTCTCAACCTCATGAACGTATATTTTGGTGACTGCTTGGTGGCCAGTTAGAAGAGAGCATTTCATCTCCAGGATCTGGACCGTCTTCGCAAACGACTCCAAAAACATGACATCACTATAAACATTCAGAAATTTCAGATCGAAACCGTTTATCTGGACTATTTCGGACACGCTACTGATATATTCACTAAAATGACGTCAAACTGACTTGAATTGCTTGAAACACAACTCTTATTGGACGCTGCAACGCGTCCAATTGGTATTTAGCGCTTGAAATTGTCCTTCAGGTTGTTCGCGGTGCAAATCAGGTGATACTTCGGTTATGATAACCCTATGGGTCACCTACCCTGGACATTTATTGTAAGAACTCTGTTTTTTTTACAATTAGTACAAGATTCGCCTTTTCGTTTTTACTTTTGGGGCTCATATCCAATCGGAAAAGTACCCAATTGTAATAATCCCGGGCGATGGAGGGTGTCAAGCGTATAGCAAGCTAAAAAACTCAACGTCACCTCCTTTTTTAGTATGGATAGACTTACGTTACTTTCTCGAACCGGGAAAACTAAATGAATACTTCGGGTAATGTTCAATACTGCTCGATTTATTGGGTCTTAGCTTAGTTTACGATCCAGTCAACAGAAAGTCTAGGGATCCTGATAACGCAGACGTATATTTCCCAGGTTGGGGTGAAACGTGGTCTATTGAAAATTTGGATAGTTATAGACATAGCAGAACTGAATATTGTGGTCCAATGATTGAGTCATTGCGTCGTGATCCTTTCTTTGTATCCAACTGGACTATTCGCGGTGCACCCTTCGATTTCCGTAAAGCTCCAAGTTAGTTTAAAGCTCTTAAATTAGCTTCCTCTCCAGATGAAAACGAGGGCTTCAATGGCAAACTTATGCACCTGATTGAAGAAACTTATCAAAATGGAGGAAACCGGTCGGTTGTTTTGCTTGGCCATAGTTTGGGGGCTAAATACGGTATGTACTTCTTAAAGTCAATGAAGAAAAGCTGGAAGAATACATACATCAAAACCTTTGTCTCACTCAGTGCGCCTCTTGGTGGTTCAGTAAAGGCTCTTAAAATTGAAGCAAGTGGTACGTTATGTTATTCGATTATATTTGTTCAAATTTGTCAGCGTTTATTGCTTTTTCGTCTTACTTAAAATCTTAGCATACAACTCCATTTATGATACAAAAATAGACCCCTAACTCGAACTACAATGGATTATTATTCAGGATGTACATATCTGCTTCCCATTACTTAGTGGGGAACTACTTACGTTTCTCACCATTTTTGTCAACCAACTGGTCCTATATGTGTTTCGTTAAAATTAATAACAACAAAGTCTTCGAACCTTACTAATTGATTCAGAGCCTTGGTAGAACTGCAATCAAGATCGGTTTGCCAAATGTTACCTGTTGGGGCTGTTCATTTTTCAAAATTCTACCCGATTTTTTGTAGTCCTATTTATAAAATGAATTCCCTGCAATACTTGCCTAATGAATTACTGATAAACTTAGTTGGTAGACAACGTCCTTATTTGAATATTCCGATAACATATAACCTTATTAACACAAGTAAAAATGCGAAAGTATTTCCATTTCTATTTGTAAATGCAAAATGTTACTTTAGATTTGGTCTGCTCCATTACCTAGACTAAACATAGACAGCAAAGTAAATAATTTTGCTGACTACTATGCTTATATTAAAAGACTCACCACACCCTGTTGATAGCTAATAAAATCTCTGCACGACTACTAAAAGTCCATGTGGTTCTTACCTATTTGCGCTGCTGGTGACGTAGGATCAGTTGTACTGCATATTTGTCCACAGTTTGCCGTTTTTCTTCTAATCTTCATCGTAAGACTATTCATTCTATCCCCCTATTTTATTATTTCATAAACTGAACAAAGGTTTTTAGCCTGCGATTCTGTATTTTGTGATTGTAAACTAACGTCATTTCACGGATATCAGTTTTGTAAAAGGCATCTAAAGTCTCATATTTACTGTTTCTGTCTCAATATATTATTGTTGTTGCTGTCGGTTTGTAACTAAAGTGGTAATATAATTCCCGGACTTCTCACATGAATGTTATTTATTCAAGTTGCATCAACCGACACAGCTGTTTGAATATGCAATCTTCGTAGTTACTGCCAGCAAATCTGCGTATACTTCAACAGGTCTTAATATCCTGGGTTTAGTTTGTTATTCCTATATTTGCCGAGGATTAGATTTTTATACTTGAAATAAAGGCATTACAGTACAGTCACACTGTGAAGCCTTATCTAATATTCCATCAGTGGTAAGGTCATAAAAAGCAAACAGCCAGGTGAGTTTTACCAGCCTTATTACCAGGATTTATTAGTGAGAATAAGAAATCCACTCATTACATGGGAAACGCTTCTATTTTAGTCACTAACTGATTCCTATTTAAAGCTGTCTGCATAATGTACCTTTAATAAATAATCTCATGGAACTATTTGATACTTTCTGGCGAACCACGTCTGGAACTATTTTCTGGAATATATAGGTAATGTATGTATTTCTGCATTCTAAGTACTTTTACAATAAACCTGTCATTTTTAAACGTTGTTTAGATGTGCTGCTATTTTTGTAGGAGATAACTTTGGTGTGTTTTTACGCAGTCCACTTAGTTTCCGCCCTGTTCAACGCACGCTACCTTCTCTTGCTTTTCTCCTCCCCGATTCTCGTTTGTGGTCACCAAAGGAACCTCTTATTATAACGCCGACTACAAACTATTCTGCTCATGACTACGAACGTTTCTTCCATGATGTCAATTATTCGATCGGTGAGCAAATAAATATTGTACACTCAGTCTATTCATTTTAACTTGATAACATTGCTTTATTAAGAATTTACTAACGTTGGAAAATCCAAGTCATTAGACTTCAACTCAGTATTTGAGCAGCGTCGTGTATAACGTCTTTAATTTATGTACGTACTGCTAAAATGCCGTATACTAGGACAAGTCATTTATCAACTGCTGCGTGTTTCCAAATAGTGACTCAGTCTATGTTGAGCTGTGATGCAAATCATTATCAAATTGAACCAATCTTCACAGATACTAAGTCGAGTATCAAGGTAATTTGTAACCACTTTAACAACTAGATCTATTATTGGAAGATTATCTTTATTCTTACTTCTTACGCCTGTTACTGTTCATGGATCACAGGCCGTCAACTGGGATTATCCAACCATCTCTGTCCTGGACTCTTCTTTCTAGCTGTTTTCAAGTACTGTTCATTCTTTCGCTGTACGCCTCCAATTCTCGTCGCAATATTTTCTTTGATCTTCTTTTCCTTTTGCCCTCAGGATTTCAAGTTAGGGCTTGCCTCGTGATGCAGTTCGAGGATTTCCGCAATGTATGTCCTATCTACCTCCAACGTCTTTCCCTAATTTCGTCATCAGCTGAAAGTTGGTTTGTTCTCTGACAGTAAATTTTTGCTGATGGTATCCGGCCAACGGATTTGGAATATCTTATGTAGACAAGATACAAAAATGCTTTCTACCCTTGTGTATCGTTATTCTAGGATGTCATTATTATCCACGTTGTTTGATCACGTACTGCTTCTTTTTAGTAAGTTATTTTGAAGCTAAAACTGAGTGAACCGAAGGAAATAACAAAGATGTTTATTCCAAATAATTATCCTTCATTGTTTTCACTCTTCGTAGACTTTCACTGAGTGGTAGTTTGATTATCCGCCAAATTAAGACAACAAAGAAATCTGTTGTTTACAACCACCAAGAAGGTGTTGATGATTTTTTTTGGAAAAACTGAATATTATAACCTAAATCTCGTAGATATTAAAACCATATGAATTACTGTTGATGTGAACAGCATGTAAAAAAGTTGACTGTTAGAGTGAGATTCCAAGATAATAATCATGATCTGTGTTGAGAAACCTTAATTGATGCAGCTCAAAATCCGTCGCACTAGCGCTGATCCATTTATTCTGTATCTTCTGGTGTTATGTTTTGTTTTTTGCAATTAATTATACAATGTTTTTCATTCCTTTGCGTTTCATGTAGTCACTTTTTTTGTATCTGCACTGACGTTTAGTGTGGCATTTTAGTCTGATGTACACTTTTCGCTAGCCATATGTTGTTTATGAATGACTAAATTCCAAAACCAGTAGAAATCACAGGATGTTAATGCCAGATAATACGTCATGAAATAGTTTCAAATGATCTCATCGTTTTCATCTGCTTCTTCACTTGCTTTAATTTGTATTGAATCTTAGCTGAGGATGTTAATAATAGCGAAGCCTTTTTAACAGCTGTCGTAGTAGTCAGTAAAGTTCATTCAGTAACTTTCTTTAAATATCTGGGCAGGTCTGCATGCAAAAATTTATAAATTCGAAAAGTTGATTCCAGTAGTGTACCGACAAGAAGTAACTATCTAATCAAGTTAATTAATTAAATTTATTGCTATTGTTTTAAGCTTTTATGACATGTAAATATAGAGATTATCTTAATTTCCTCAAAAAGCATTTCCTAAACTACTGTGTTTGTTTCTACGACCACCACTTCATTCAATCGGTCTCCAAATCAAAACGGGGCTTGGAGAAATGTAATTATGTTTCGAAGAAAAAGACGAAGTTAATCAGTCATGTCTCAACAAAATGATTAAAATTTATGAACGGAATAGTTTTCACTGAATATAAATCACAGTACGTTACTTAACACAATAAAGATACATTTTGAATACATCAAATTAACTTCATATGAAACAAATCGAAACAGGACAAAAACACTGAAAGTCAATAAATGAAATTCATTTTCAATCAACTTAAGGATTCTAAAACTAGTCTCTTAAATGTATTATTTAGGGATTTCACATCCTCGACAGAAACTTTTATGGAGTAAACTCTTAAATAATTATTCTACTTAAAATTATCACACTGTATTTTTGCACACTTATACACTTTTATCCTTAGGCTTCCAGATGATGTTGGACAGTAAATATATAATTGATACATTCGAAAAACCAAGTGATATTGATGAAATCTATTGTATTCATGGAGCAAATTTGAGTACCACTGACAAAATGATTTATTCACCGCCCAATTTCTTTCATAGTGGATTTCCAGATCAAGTGCCGACATTGATTCCTGGAAACGGTGATGGAACTGTTAGTCTACGTAGTCTAGAAGTTTGTAAACGTTGGCCTGGTATAAAATACTTCATGTTACCTGGGGCTGAACATGTAAATATTATGGGAGATCCACGTTTTATTGATATTATTCATCGAATTGTTGGTGCTAACACAACTAAGACATCAAAATGTTGTTAGTTTTTTTTTCACTTTATTATTTACTTCTTCACTGTAATAAGATTCTCATTTCATTCAATTTCCACCGAATTATTTGTTGCAACATGGGATGATGGTCAAGGTAGACTGCAAAGTATCAGACACATGATTGTGATTGTATTAAATGTCATGTGGATATACTCGAACTTGAACAATATTTCTGTTTCAATGTGGACAAAATCAGGATAATAGAAGTAATGTTTTCTGTATTGTTTTTAGGTCCTCATAATTTATTTCTGTTATTATGGTATTTTATTAAAAAGTTCTTGATTTAATTAGTATTATGGAATTATGTTTAAGTTTAAAGGGGTTGTATAGGTTTTCTTTTTATGTTAAAATAGGTTCAATCATAGTCTGACATCAACTGGAGTACCAGAGACTATTTTTTAATCAACCTAATTTACGTTTTCTTGACAGTATGCATCCGTAATTCCACGTAAAACCAAACCTAGGCATTCAGGTTTCGTAGAAAGTATGATACTTTTAAATAACTGAGTTACAATTAGAATGAAACAGCAACCCAATGTTTTTCTAGTTTTCGATGGTTTTTCAGCTGTTTTCAGTCTTTCATAAAGTTTACCTCGAATATCTTACATGGTAATTTGTTTTGTGAAAATAAACATAACTATTACCAAACTACTATGCTGAATTGAGTAAATGTGTTTGTATATTAACTGACACATATATTCAGCTTACTAGCCTATATAGTCCGACTTCAACTACTGGGTTGTAAATCCCACTCGTAGATAGCATTTACAATTGTTATCTGATGGATATAGCTCAGTCTCTCGTACATCGACCTGTTCCAGTTTGTCAGAAAGCACTAAGTATATCTCGATGCACATTTCTATCATACGGGGCTGAATTAGTTATCAGTGATTACAGATTAGTATAAGCTTAATATGATGTGACATTTGGATGTTATTTATTTATTTATTTGAACACATAAACATTGGTACAAGAGGGTATCAAATATATATGCGTCATACAAAGCAATGAGAATGGGAAGAGAAAAACAAAGAACTTAAGAAGCGTAAAAGAAAAAAAAAAGAACAACAACGACCAAATTGGTGTAAGGTAGTGTAATAACAATAATGGGGGAAACGGAAAGGTACTACCATAAGAATTCTTTCAGTTAAGGAAGAAGCGACCACTTTTTATGAAGAAAGTAAAAGAAGGTTACAGCAGGATTGCCACTGGCTTCTATTTTGAGCCATATCAGATAACGTCTCTAGTCACTGTGTCGCACCATCTCTCGGACCCCAGACAAGGAGTCGTGAAGGACTGACAGAAGCCAGCCCTACGAAGCTTTATTTCATACCCCGACACCATGTCAATAACTGACCAGCTCTCCGCTTTTTTCAGTCAGTCCCAGAGTCGACAAATAATGCACGACGTGGAATTCTCTGGGACGACATTCGTAGAACATGTCCAAGCCACCGAAGTCGGTGTTTCAAGATGGTGACACCAATTTCATTATCGTCTCTGTGGCCGAACACACCATGCCGGACCTCTGTATTACTGACATGGTGTTGCCACTGGATGCCAGCAATCCTTCGGAGACAACGATGATTAAACACAGAGAGTTGTCTAATATCCTCAACCTGGAGAGGCTAGGTTTCACAAACATAGAGCAGAACTGCTCTCGCCGACGCGTTGTAGATCCGAAATTTTACAGCCTGACGGACATAAGCCGTTTTGGCTTTCATTATGCGTGAATCGATCTTATCACTCACGCCACCACCTACCTAGGTACACGAACTTCTCGACTACTTCTATCTACTCACCATCCAGGGTGAGTACAGGATTAGAATCCTGCCAGTGTTGTAAAAGTACTTTGCACTTCGATGATGCAAAGTACATACCGTACCTACGGACATTGATTGCCAACCAATTAAGTGCGGGTTGCATGGCTTCTGTATCGCTGCACAGTAAGACAATTTCATCCGCATACTCAAGGTCGAGAAGTCTTTTTCCATGCAACAGATCCATACCGCCATTACTTACATCCATCAGAGCTGTTTCCAGAATGTTATCGATGGCAAAGCTTGAGAGGAGTGGTAAGATTAGGCAACCCTGCTGCTAACCCCACTGCTTGAATGGAACAATAGAGAAAGTTAGTTGTATGCCCTCACTCTACCTGAGGTGTATAATGAAAATGATGATTCGGATGTTCGCAAGTATCTGATGCATGACAACTCAGATAGTATTGTAATAAAATAACGACTACTTTATGTAAATGTTCAGTATTTAATAACTGTTCAGTTGGTAAAAACAATAAAAAGCTAAATTTTTGGGACGAGAAATCTGTAAATGTATCATTTTGGTTTTAAATCTCGTATCTCTTTGGTTCGTTTAAAGTTATGGTGTGATACGATGCCTGTAATAAGCGTTTCATAAGTTTCTCTAAAGAACTGCTGACTTATTGGCAAAATTAGTAAGTTAGCAGTAGTCTCAGGCATAAATGAATAAAATGATTGGTTGTTTCACGAGACTATTACCCTCATCATATACTGTCACACAGGCTGATGTGGAAGTAGATTGGAAAAGATCCAACAATACTCGGATGAAAATTATAATCAGTTCATGAAGTCTTCAATAACTTTACTGATTCAAATCAAGATTTGTAAGTTTCCTATCCAGTGTTCGTAAGAAAATCATAACAAATTACTAATGACAAAAGTGATGTCCAAGCTAAGTCACTAGCTAATATATATACACTTTTACTTCAATGTTGCATCATCCTGTATTGTTGACTTCAGAATTGTTTTAGTTTTCCACTGTTATTGTGAACACTTCTTAATATTTCCGTCTCCGTTTTGTTATGTTTTGATGTGTGCATATATATATATATATATATATATATATATATATATATATATATATATATATATATATATATATATATTGAACCGAATGACAAGGAATCTGAGTTGAAGATAAGGGAAAATAAAAACCAAAAGATGACTTCTTCAGTGTACAGTTAACGATGAACCGTGTATTTATGTTCGATAACTTTGATATTTGATTATATTACCTTGAAAAATCTTAGCCTAGATTCCTGAGAAAAATGTTGGATTTACTCAAAGTTTTTTACAAGTACAATTTTCTCCTTAAATCAAGCTAGTTTTTGTATGAGGTCCAACAACACTGGAAAGTTGAATCAGAAAGCGAATTAAAAGGCGCTGTCAGGTTAATAGGCGAATTTTCATTACTGTCTTAATGTGGTGCTTTCCGAAGATAGTATCTCGAACTATCCCATCTTTTCAAGGTTAAGATGAGTATTTAGATTTCATTTGTTAAATCAAAATGTATAATTTTAAAGAAAAATCCTTGCATAACATTGAAGGGAATAGAAGTGTGAAAACCTATTTAACTCTAGGAATGTTACGGTTCATATTTCTCTTCATTCTATGTAGAAAAATTACTTTGAAGAATGTATTCATTGGATATTTCTCTAGGTTAGACTAATATATGTGGCATTGTTATAAACATGCTAGTGAACTTATAATCGTATCATTATTACAAGGTTATTTGGAATACAATCATGAGTTACCTCAAAATTAGACCACATTAAAACGAGTGATCATTTTCAGAATTATGAAAATATAACAGTTGGTGATCGACCAAATGACCTTATAAGTTACTGAAATAAATACAAATCTAGTAATAAATAAAAATCGAAATAAGATATAAAAAAACAAGAATAGTACGATCATAAGCACCTATTTGTAGGACATTCGTTTCAAATAACCTGATTAAACTAGGATAAGTTGTACCAGAATTTACCACTGTATAAATAAAATCCATAATTAATGAATCAATTTATATTATTGTAATATTTCTGAAGGCATCATAAATTTCTTTGTAAATAGAATAAATAACATAGTAGCGAAATTTATTTGATTTATAACGAAACGCGTCTACATATATGATGTCTGTGATTAAATCCAGTTTCGAAATAATCGAAATTTTTTGTTTAATTCAGAGTGATTAAGCACTATCGATGCGCAAGGCATCCAACCCCTTAGAACCAAAGTGACGTCCATTCCGGTTGACCCAGAACCGACAATCATTGAGCAATTGCGCACGTTTAACGGCCTGATAAGTTTCTATAGACGGTTTATATCGAAATGCGCGTCACTTATGAAACCACTAGCCGACCAACTTCGTGGAAATGCGAAATTCATCAATTTGGACGATATCACGCGAGAAACACTTTCCACAGTTAAGGAACATATCGCTCACACATCAGGACACTCAAGCGCCCATTGTTATTGCAGTAGACGCATCCGACTCAGCAATCAGAGTCATACAACAGTGAGTTAACCACTCCTGACAACCTTTGGCATTTTTCTCTAGACGGTTACTAGACACTGAATCGAGGTATAGTACTTTCGGTAGGGAACTCCTAGCTATGTATTGTGCTGTACGGTATTTTCAACACTATATCGAAGGCCGAGAATTCACCCTTTTTACCGACCATAAACCTCTTACTTTCTCTTTAAGCTCATCTACAGACAAGTACTCACCACTTGAGTCTCGACAACTGGACTACATTTCGCAGTTTACTTCAGATAATCGACACATTTCTGGATCAAACAATGTATTTACAGTCGCCTTGTCTCGTATAACTTCTTTAAACAGTTTCCAAGGAATTGGCTGTAACGGCCGAACTGCCAGTAGTCGGTTTGAACGCAGGACTGACGGACCAAAATTTATTCGGATAGGCCAGAATACGTTCTTCTATATAGTATACGATGCGTTTTTGAGAGACTCATATTAAATTATATCAATTTAAGTACAAAATACCGCGAAAGGTACAGCATGTGCTATAGAGTCAAAAGTATCTCTAACGGAAAGTAGCGCACTAAACAATAAAAGAAACAGTTAATAACAAAGGATTCAATAACTGAGAAATAAAAATATTTCCAACAAGATGGGACCCAATATCTATCCGCATAGATTCCGGTAATCTTCCTAAGCAGACAGTCAAAAAGTTAAGTCACACACTGAACCACGCCGAGACCTTGAACATAGTCAAACACGACCTTGCTGTCCATAGTCCGGCAACATGTAATAGAAAATTAGGTAAGAAAAGGTAAGCCTTTAATCAAACTCACATAATAAACGTTCAGACGAAGAAGACTGAAGAACAAATGGTGTGGTTAAACGAGATCTGAACAACTGTTAAAATACACGACAGGGAGAAGAACCAAATAAATGAGAGTACTGTCCAGCAAGAAAGCTGCGGATAGATTTTCATCGCTCTT